TTAGAATGAAGAGGAAGTTGTCGTGGAGTGTCGCGTACGCTTCTTGTCCTTTATGGGAGTGGGGAAAGATGTCCATACCTTTGCCTTCATCATGGATACCGGGAACCAACATTTTGAGTGCCACGTTTTCTGGTGTGAGCCCAATGCAGGCAACGTATCGGAGGCGGTTCAGGCTGCTTGTATGGTAAGTAATCGCCACAGGTCTATTATACTCTTAGTGTAGACAGAAGAAAATTTAAGCAAAGTATTCCCTGATCCTGTCAAGGTTTCCCCCCCCCCACTCCAAATGTGGTGTTTAGTGTTAAAACCAGCCTGTTCAGGTTTCCCTAGCAAACTGATCATTCAGTTCTGAGCCCTGGGCCTTTAACACCGTGATTCTAACTATTGGGGTCAGCCCTCCCCACCTCCTGTGCTTTATCGGCCATCTGTTACGTGCACAGACTGAAAACTGGAGTCACGTAAAGCAACGGAGGCAAGGAAGCAAGTCCCAAGCCTTTCACGAGAGAACAAATACGCCTCTGTAAGGAAGGGAGCAATGGGAAAACAAATCACAAGATTGATGAGAATCACCAGAGCTCCCTGCTACAATGGTGTTATTCAGCATCTGGTTCCAGAGTGCTTGTTGGGGCCCATCCTTTAAAATTGTCAACAGCTCCCTTGGGCTAGTGGGGGGATATTAGCGCCAACCAGAGAGTGAGCAGAGCAAGTTCTGGAGATTGGAACTGGGCACTGTTCAGTCTTAGCTCCCAAATATCAAATGAGTCCTGAGATTTATGGCGAGTCTGCCACCGTGCCGCAAGGATTGCGACAGATGTGCATTCATGTTGCATTGGCACAATATAACTGTAATTTTTTTTTTAAAAAAAAAAGTAGAAACCATTAATTTCTATGACCCGCTCTCATGATCAGCAGCTGTGCCACCCTTAGGGCAAGCATACAGAACTTGTGACTTTGCGAGCCAAATTCAGCCCATTCAATCTAGGCAGCAAAAAACCCTGTGTATCAAGACCCTGGCAAATTGCTGTGCATAGCCAGGTTGGCTGCATTTGGCTAGATAGTGCAGGTGTGCTTGCTTGCTCTGAGGTCAATCACAAGCCATACAGGGGTCAAAAAGTGCGGAACTATCTGTAATTGACAGACTGTTGTCCATAAAGCTGAGGTTGCAGAACCACACTAACGGCCGCAGAACGTGTTTGCTTTCTTGCAGCTACGGTATCAGAAATGCTTGGTCGCCAGACCTCCTTCGCAGAAAGTCCGGCCGCCGCCACCTCCTGCAGACTCAGTGACCAGAAGAGTAACAAGTAACGTAAAACGAGGAGTACTGTCCCTCATTGACACTTTGAAACAGAAACGCCCCGTTACTGACACGCCATAGCCGCCGCCCAGGAAAACCCAGATTTCTCAGAACGCCTAGTGGAAAATGCAGTAGCTACACTAAAGAAGATGAACTGATTTTTATTTTGGCCTTCCAGTTTAAATGGGTGATGCTTTGTCTTCAGAGAGTTTACCCTTATCGAAATAATATTAGACAAGCATGTTCTCTTGTTCTTGACACCATCATGTGATATGAAAAGAAGCATGAATAATATTTTTTTTTTGCTGTGAGTTACCATGAGAAGCAGAAGGTCTGTTTTCCAGCTGTAAATATTATGAACGTTTCTGAAATTCACGCATACACAGGAAAGGGACACGGCACATCACTCCTAACAAATGAATCTTAACATCCAGGGAGAGAAGCCATGCCCAAACCAATGCTCTCACCGCCCCTCTGAACTGGATTTTGGCACAAGCAATTCTTAGATCCTACAGCACCTTATCCCCATTTTCAACACTGGAGTACATACCAAGTATTAGTGTAGGTTTAAATTTTTTTTTACTATGCTCTGCTCAGTAACCAATTTTCCATACTGTCTACCAGAGTCACCACTTGTCGTCTTTTGTCCGAAAGTCTCCTTAAAGGTGGCAGATCTTCTACACAGGCGGTTCTTTTTGCGTGAAAGAATGTGTAAGTAGTGTAGAATCATAATGCGCGTCTGTTTTTCTGCATGTAGCTGCCCAGCCCATGTGCATCCTAAGAGATGCGTGTTCAGTGCTCAGAGGATACCTACACACAGCTTGCGCGGAAGGGCTCCCTCTGTAGGAAACCATGTTCAAAGCAGCCCGAACAGACTCGAAGAGAGATTTCTTTCAGTGCCAAACTCAATATCTGAAGGATTTGGTCATAGATCCAGAGGCGTTAGCCATGTTGTTAGTCTGTTGCTGCAAAATAGTCAAAAGCCCAGTAGCACCTTTGACTAATAAATGTTATCGTAGCATAAGCTTTCGAGAAACACAGCATCTGACGAAGAGAGCTGGGTTTCTCAAAAGCTTATGCTGCAATGAAGTTAGTCAGTCTTAAAAGTGCTGCTGGGCTTTTGAGTATTTTGAAGAGTTTGGGAAACAGTTTGGGGAGGTGCCTTAGCTTTGCATTCTTGAAGAGACAAAAGCCAGCACTGATGACGCAGCCTTTCAGGTGCCCCTTGCCTTTTCTTGGTGGTTTTGTGCGTCTTTTCATCATGAAGGTAGGGAGTGAGTTGCAGGTCTGAGTATGAGGTTGAAAAATGAAAACCCAAGCCAGTTACCTTCTGCCTTCCTCCATATAAAATGCCTGTACACTTGAATAGAGTTACATATTGAGAAATCTAGTGTGCAGATGAAAAAATGGGGTTTCAGTACTCCAGCCTGGGGGGGGGGGGCATCCATAAAAGTGCAAGCCAGACTCAGCGCGACTTTTAATGGTGAGCTTTGAGTGTACATGGTTTCCCCCCATTTTTGTATCCCCGGAGCTTGCGTGCCGAGCCAGTAATTTTATAGTGCACACACACAAACGTGCAGAACCCACTGTAATCTGCAGAATACTGAGCACTGTATATTACTGTAATTCTAAAACAAGGAATGATCCATTCCTGACTGGACTTTTATGTGTAATGGAAGCTCATCATAGTGCTTGAGCTTCCCAAGTCAAGTAAAACACATCCTTTCCGGGCGGAAAGGGGGGCTGTTTCATAGAAAAAAACTCCGTATGGTAGTTTCCTCCACCTTTCTGATGGCACGTGCATTATTTTGGGTGGTTCTCTAATGTATTTCAGATGTAATGTTTGTCATTTAGATAAAGCGTAGCACCCAGTTCACCTACACGGCTGCTGTCGGAAGCGCCTAGACTCTCTTGACTCTCTGACCACAGTTAACCAGGCACAAGGACAATGGGCGAGAGCAGGGCTATTCAGGCGCTGACTCAGTGGACGTATGCGAAAGGCCAAAGGAGCAATCCATGGGCCTGCATCCCCTTCCCCACTCTTCTGAGAACATTTCAGTGTGAACCGGAGGGCGGGCGCACCCGCATGCACATGCCTACATCTAGAAGTCCTACTCGCACAATTGGTCTAAAGCCACACTGACTGCATCGTGTTCTTGTCAAAATGATGCATACCGGAGGCGTAATCCTTTGTTCTGCCACATGGAGCCCAGTTGCCCGACGGTTTACAGAGCATGAAGGACAAAAGACTGCTGCACTTACGAAGGACAGCAACTCACAAGAACAGTAGAGAGATGCTAGGGCCCCTCTGCTCACCATTATTTCCTGCACAAGCATGGGGAAACTGTATCCCTCGTGCACGAAGAGTGCTGTTTTGGCACTGTTAGAAATTGGCCTCCCATCCTGAACACAGACAGCAGATGGGACCTGTGTGTGTTTTTAACATCTGGCCATGTGCAGTGAGTTTTCTTACGGAGAAGTGACATCAGTCTGGACAATAAGTGCCAGAAGGTAGTCCTGAGCCAGGAAGAAAAGCTTTAGAATTAGCAGGGGGAACAGCGACCCAGAGAGACTGGCTGGAGCCGCCTTTCTTGAAGCTGCAGGCGCTGGGCTTATACCCCCTGTTCACTGTACACCTTCTGCCCCCACTCCAAAGGGCAGGTGATATTAAACCAAGAGGTGTGCAGATTTGCTTTTTGGTCTCCAAAAGCAAGACAGGGTTGGTTGGCACATGTGCTCATTGTCTGCAGTGTCAGCCAGCATGGGGGGAGGCAGTCTACACGTTAGTCCGTTCACACCCCTTCAAATGCATGTCTTGCCAGTGGAGTTCATTAATATGTTTAGCTGCGGATGGTCATGTGCTGTTACATGAATTTGTGAACTACCACCCTTTTGTGTTCCCGGATCTAAAAGATGGAAAACTTTTACCGATATTTAACAATACTCTTCCTCCACTTTTGAAGAGGTATGTATTTGCAGATTTAAAAGACCAGAATTCAGCCGCTGTAAGAGAGATGCATAAACATTTTTCGTTTAGAAACCCCCCCCCCTTTTTTCCCCCTCATTAACTGACATACGACACCATCGCCTATGCAAAGGAAATGTAGGGGAATTTAACCCTAAGAAGTTCTTAGCAACTTTTAAAAGGGTTAGGGTCACCAGCCACCATCTTAGAAATGATACGTTAGTCACAGATTTTGGGCCTGGCAACCAGGTTCTTCCAGTCTCACCTTTCTCCTGAAGAAACATCCAACCACACTACTCTCTCTCTCTCTTTTTACAAAATTGCATGTTGGCTAATGGTAACAATCATTCTCAAAAATTAGTTTTGACTTTGTGGAACACTTCAATCTGTTACACATCATTTCCCCCCTGTCCGTATTGTATGGCTATGCTCAATTATTCCAACGACTTACATTCACACCGGAAGCCCTAGTTCATTTG